CTTTCCCTAAAATCATCAAGTTCACGCTAAGTAATTTCACTTGCTTTGGACAAAAAGATCAGGGGAAGGAAGTTCCTCACTCGGCTTTTAACGGTTCTAATTTTGTAGTGATTGGGCATAGGCAGCGAAACAGCCATCACTCAGAAGAGCCATATTACAGTGATAAATAGTTCTGACTTCACTCAGTTATAGCCTGTATAAAATTGCACTTTGCTTACCAGAATATATTTCGTACTGACTTACCACATTAAATTCACAGAATTTGCAAACACGATAGGCCGTGTTGATGCGTGCATGCATCTACCTTATTTGGACAGGGACAAATTTGTAATGAAAGCGAGGTGTGAATTAATTCCGTAATCCTTGTTGGTTACTGCCTTGCAAGGTGAAGGCTTCAGACTTTAAAGTCTGCCTCTGTGGTGCTCAATTTTTCCAACACCCTTCTCGCATGAGGCAGGATGGCCTGGTGAAGAGTTCTGCAATGTGAAGATGGTTTATTTCCTATCCTTTTCACAAAGCAGCAACAACTTCCAAATTTTCATTTTAAAAAACCAATCTGAATTGAGAGCATAATGAAGTTGCGTAATTAAGTCCTAAAAGGTCGGGATATCATGATCACATAAGCATTAATTTCCCAATACGTTCTTCACTTATGTGGTCTCATTATTTAACAGTTTAATACAGCAGAACTTTTTCTGTGAATGTGATACAGATGTTTATACTGCTCGCAGTTTGTGAAAACTCTTTAATGGGGTAAATGCATTAGTGTTTATCCTATTAGTGTCATGTTAGTGATGCGAAGCTGTCATTCTGTGGGAAGAGCATGCTTTGTTGGGGTTTTACATTTAAATATAGCCATGTAAAAGAGCAGTATATGGTTTCCTTTAGCAAACAAATTGACTAGGGAAGCAGGCTGGAATGTGTGTTTTCCAGCAACTCTTTTGAGTTTATAAATCAGTCTCCTCAATGGGATTCACATAGACTTATCGGAGACCTAGCGAACAAGTTGTTGGGCTGCTTTTGGAACGGAAGGGAAAAGCCTGATTATTTGGATGTGGTTTATTCTTTTTCCCTTGATCTCTCCCTACACCTGGGTTCGCAGGAGGGATTGGCTCGGGACATGAACCTGCAGCCAACCCAGGTCTATAACTGGTTTGCAAATTATCGACGACGTCAAAAATCCTGCCTCTCTCGGACGGAAAGGCTCAACAACTCATGTCCTGAGAGGGCTTTGACTTACTGCACAAAGGAGGAGCAGGATAAAGGATCCTACGCTCCACAGACTGCAGGTTCGTCTCTTCCTAATGGGTTTAGGATGCGGTCCAGAAAGCTGAAAAACAATTTAAAATTCCCTCGGGAAGGGAAGGCTATTCCTGCTCCAGAACAGTGTCTATCTGCTGATGGATCAAGTGGACACTGGAGGACTCTACTTCAGTGGAGTGCCTCATTGTTTGGCTAGAGGCTGCCAGTCTGTTGAAGGAGCAAGGATTGATAAGGCCTGGGCAAGGACAGGTGAAAAGAGATGCCCGTCTCAGAAGGGGTGCCAAATGAAAGCAAATGCAAGGGAGGCAGCAGGTGCCAAATGAAAGCAAATGCAAGGGAGGCAGCAGGTTTTAGCTCTCAGATTCTGGGATCAGGGCAGTACTCCAGTAAAACCCAGTATTTCCTTGCCCCTTCACGGAATCTTGACCAAACCTCAGTCACGGGGAATAAGAGGGTCTTGCTGCATTTGGCAAATGAGACTTGTTTCATTGCTTTTTGGAGTAACTGTTAGTGTTCCTTCACCTGCCCGGCCTGCACCTTTCAGATGGCTCTTGTGTAGGCATCGGCTCTGAGCAAATGGAGATAACCCTCATGCCCTGTGACCCAGGGTGGGAGCAGTCAGCTGCAGATCTGGATAAGCCTCCTGAAGGAACGTACTTAAAGATGCTGGAATCCAGGTGATGTATGAAAAAGTCTTTACAGTGACAGCTCAGAGATGAAGCAACCTTTAAACTTGTTCATGGGACGGACTTTCATGTCAGTTCCCAGGGGACATCGCTTAGGAGATGTGACTCCACAGATGGGAATGGTCCATGCCCAGCATCAGGCAGGCAGAGCATCTAGCAGTTAATCTCCCAGCTGTCAAGGGCAGGATTCAAAGTTCTTCTGGGGGGTCTCCTCTCTTTGCAAAGCAGTATGTCTGGCTGATGCATTTGCTCCATCATTACAGCTTTGCGCAGAGCAGTGAGCTGTATGAAGCGAGGACAAGCCAGGCTTTGTTGACCACTCACAACACTGAACAACCTGTGGCTTTCTGCACTGAGGCTATGCTGGAACCAGGAACCTGCTTTAACTCTGCTGTCCTGCAGCCCAGAGAAGCAGCCAGCAGTACTGATGCCAGCCCCCAGCTGGATGCATTTGTCCTGTGCTCCTGCGGGTCCCTTACCTTCCCGGATGAACAGCTGGCCATGTGGCATGCCCCTTCCAGCACCAGAGGAGTCTCTGGCTCCATGTGGACCCCAACTATAGAAGGTTAGTAAAACTGCACCCAGACCGTTGACCTTGAGAGTTTTCAAGCTTCTCTTCCCTTTGTTGTGAACACTCTTGCTCACTTAGGTGGCTTTCCAATGTCATGACAACTGGGAGCAGGGCTTGTCATGAGCTCCGGAGTTCTGCTCCCATAGTAGCTCAATGAGAAAATCTGTTGATTTAAGGTGTTGAAGCAGACATTCTTACCTACTCTTTTGCTTAAACTGTAAGTCCTTCCGTAAGATAGTACTTTTCCAGCAAGGTGGTTTCCTTGTAGCATTTCCATTGGAAGAGTCCCTTCAGGTGTTATCTGCTCACCTTGTCAGTTTGCAGGCTTCTGGGTTTTTAAATGCCTGTCATTCTTACGAGATTGCCTGAGCAGAGGCTAGGAACTAGCCTCTAGTTAAGAAGCTGCGACACAGTGCTCATCTTCAGCAACACATTCTCACTTTCCTTTCTCCTTCCTGCTATTCTTTCTCTCTCCCTCTCTGTTTCCTTCCTGTCCAGTCTTGTTCAGCATTCCACCATCTCTTTTCTCCTCCCTGTTCTTCAGAACAGCATTGATAGGATACGTAAGTGATGTCCACCTGCTTTTGCTGTAGGTCTACGGAACAGAAAGCGCTGTGGCTGCCATTCATCTCTGGTGAATGTGGAGCAAGGAGGGGAGGAATAGCTGGGTCAGAGGTTGGGGTCATGTTATCTGTAATTGTCTTTAATACGAGCGTTTATTTCAGCAGGTATCAGAGCTCCCTTGAGCAGAGTCCCTCAAGGTGGCTGTATTGAGGCCAGTTCAGGAAGAATCATTCAGCAGTCAGATTTAGAGGTTGAAAGCTTCATCCTTAGAGAAGGACAGCTAGGGACCCTGGAATCTATTCTTCCCCACAGGTAAAGGGAGGGGAAAGCCCAGGGCTTCTTAAGGGCAGGAGTAACAATGATGCTGTGGGTCTAGCCTTGTCCTGATTCCCCTGTTGAAGAGGGCTGCAGACAGAGCATAGTGGTGCATCTCATTCAAGGGCCTGGTTCTCCTTGTGTCCATCATATTTTGCAGATATTTATAGCTGTGCACTGGAAATGGGAAGTGCTGTGTAAATGTATATGTGTTTTACGGTGGTGGCACAAAGGAGATTTGGGACCAGCCTCATCGGAAAAGATAGGAACCCCTCTCTTTGAAGCAGGTTTAGCTTCTAAGTGATTTGCCTGTTTTTCTTTTTGGCAGAAACTTATAACCTATACTGATCTCAGTGAGAGCTGATTCTGTGGGCTGGGTTGGTAGGGCCCGTATTTAATCCTAAAATAGTTTTTGTAGCTTCATAACCTCATGACAAGATTATTCCATAGTGCAAGCTTTCCAAATTGGAAGACAGAAAGACAGACACTGTTCTGTCTTTCTGTTTTCCACCTGTATGAAGTGTTTCAGACTGCAGGTTTTCTCTGGGGCTGGAGATGAATTCACAGAATGCAAAACAACAAAAATCCGTGCCATCTTCCATGTGTTATACAACTTCCGTAATGTTACATAAAAATAAACACTGCCAAACAGAAATGACGAGGTTCCTTTAATTTACTGATCTGCAAGACAGAAGAGGAGCAGTAGCCCCATTTCATAACCATTCTGCTTGACACTGGCCAGCGTTTGTGCTAGCATGACACTGTCAATAATACACCACAGAGGTAGCTACAAGCAGTTCTATTCCCACTTTATAGGCGAGGAAGCAGAGGCATGGAGAGGCTTTGTGGCTTGTCGAGCACCAAGGGAAGGCAGTGATTCACTGGAGATAAAGATCAGTGGTTTTTTGCTTCCTGGTTCCCTGCTAAAAACACTTCTGCCTTTTACCCCTGTTTCCCAGCTGGCTTGGTGCCTACAGTTGTTCACGTTCATGTCGGACTCCCCGCTCCGAGCTGCTGGGGAGAACCCAGGTCTGGGCATTGCAAACCCACCTCAGTCTGCGTTTTAGGATTCGCAGTTTTAGACGGTGGCTCAAGATCATGAAAGATCAGTGAGGCTTGCTGGCAATATTTTGGCTGGATTTAAAATTGCATGTTCTGACTCTAGAGTGAGCTCATGTTTATTTTTAAAATATGTTCTGCCAGTAGAAGAAATCTATGGTGAATGTCTCCTTGTTGGGTATGTCGGCTGTGCCAGGAATCCACACGCCCTTTATCGTATTCCTGGCAGGGGCAGGACTTGCTGCTTCATTGACACCTTCTGGTGAGGATATAGTTATTTGAACTCTATTTGTAAACCCCGTTTAGCGGCTGGTCCAGCTCCCCCAAAACCTTGAACTCATGAGTGCTACGGAACAGCGATCTCTTTAGAAATGAGTGATGCTTAGGCTGCAGTTTCATCTTGGCCTTTTTGCAGTTTCTCTCTGGAGAGCCAGGAGACCTCGTGTGGGTAGTCTTGGCTAAGATCACTGCTCGGTGAATGGCAATGAATGAGGATCACCTTTGTTATCAGGCAGAGCCCTCTGACAGAGTCACTGGATTAGAGAGAAGTATTGTGTCACCAGAGTCATCTTTAGCAATAATATTGCAATGAGCATCATTCATTTGGGGACTCACGAAGAAATCGACAGCTTAAACTGCATGGCAAATGAGTGTTGCTATCCTGGAAAGAGAGGGCAGTGAAGTTATCCCTGCTTTACAGATAAGAGTAAAGCACAGAGAAGGAAATTATTTATCCAAGGTCACCCACCTGGAGTGGACTTAGTGGTAGCTGTCGCTGCCTTGCCAGCACCTGTGGCTCCCTGCTTCGTAAGTGCAGGGGCAGAGCTACAAGTCAGCCAAGGGACCCTTAATCTGCTTGTCTCGTTTTTAAAGGTGCTCACCTGGAAAGGACTTGGCCTGAAAGCTTATTAGAACGATTCCAGTTGCTTTCTTTCATGGGCTTTTTGCAGTCGGTCCTACGCACTTGGGCTGTATCCAAACCTCTTGTGATCTACAGGGCTGCGAGGTGGGAGTGTGAGGGGGAACCAGGCTGGGAGCTGACTGCCTCCATCTGCTCCTGCTCCTGGCTGGATAGTTTGATCCAGCTAGCGAACTGGAAGTTCCTGTGGGACACCAAACAGATGCTTGCCTCTACAGATAGTGGTGTTGTCTCCTCTTCACTCCTCGAGGTGGGACGGGTGGAATGTAGCCCAGCTAATGGTTCGCGCAGGATTTAACTCTCTCGTGCCTCACATTTCAAACAGAAAAGCACACTGAACTCTATAGAGCAAGACAGATTGCATTCATGAGCCAGCATGTTGATTTAGAAAACATCAGTGCTGAGATGTTCGTTGCAGCTTACCGCTTCTGCCTGCATTTTTGGGATTCCAGCTCAGAGTGCTAGGAATCCTCCTGCTGTTAGGCTCTCCCCTCGGGATAACCCAGCACCCCGACACTGGCAGGCAGCAAGTTCAAAACACACAAAAGCAGGCTACTTTTTGGCATGTTGCATAATTAAATGGCAGAATTTGTTGCTAAGGGCGTTGTGCGTGTCGGTGTAAGTGGGCTATGAAAAAGGATGAGACAAGTTCTTGGGGGGACAGGGGGTTGCATGGCCATTCGTACCCTGGGCTATTCCTGGTAGTGGTACGGGCAGCGTTGTTGGCGTGTAGATACTTCTGAGTTGGTGCTGAAGGGCGAGAACATCCCATCATCGAGTACCCAGTGTCTCCTGCTTGACCCAGTGCCTGCAGACTGTGACCTCTTTGGAGAGGTTGGCAGAGCCCCCGGGGAGGTGTGGATGGGGAAGCCACGTCCCCAGACTCTCACTGGCGGCCTTGAAAAGCTATAGTGGCATCATAGCCAATGTTGTGGCTATGTCTAAAGCCGCATTTTTATGTGTTTTGACTCTTAAGATCTGTGTTTTTAAAATATGTTCCAGAAAAGAGACATTTTGGTAGACATCTCCTTGTTTATGGAGAATGTTCTGGCGGCATAAGGAAAGCTGCAAATCGAGATGGCATTTTTTTCCTGTGTGCTGCTCCTGGTCAGGCTAGTCCTCCCAGTGCCGAATCTGTATTTTGAGGTCATAACAATTTGGAAAAATGGGGCAGGTTTGTAGACAACTTAGCAGAAATCTGTTGAATTAATAGTCTTGCCAGGAGCTCGTCTTGTCCTGCTGCAGAACACTACAGTAAGTGGTGAGTAGAGCATAAATAACAAATGCATTTGTGTATCATCATATTTTCTTCCAGTTCCTGTCAGGCTGTGTTTGGCAAGCCTCAGTGCCCGCCTGCTTCTGCACCCTGCGTGGAAGAAAGCCAAGCCTTGGGACAAGGCCAGGTGAGAGAACACACCTAATGTTCAGAGAAGGAGCTTAGCCCTGTGCACGCTATCCAGCTGTAGCTCTCACACGGGGATGTGAAATCTCGCATCGTATTTAGTACGAAGCATGTTTGATCTTTTGGAATCCAGTTCAGAGCAAGCTGGGCATTCCCTAGGTAGCATCCAGCAAATGCTAGGAGGAGAGGTGGTTTTGTGGGTTTTTTTTCCACTTGGATTGCTTATCAGACCCAAATTTTGCTAAACGTGCCATTGAAATGATGGCCAGAGCAACCTGTGCAGATCCCAAGTGTCATTTAAATTTTGAGCAATGGAGGGCTCACCTAGCCCTGTGGAAAGAAGACGACAGGAAGATGGCTGCTCGAGGGCCCGCCCCTCTCAGGGGTTCTGCGGAATTTGACTCTGCTCTCTCAGACCTCTTAAAATCTTTCATGTAATTTTCATTTCCAAGTCTGCGTTATTGCTGAGAAGAAGGGATTTTGCACTGTTCTGAGATGGCCGATAGCAGCGTACAGAGCAGTGCTATTACAGGAAACGACAGAAGAACTCACTTCCACAATCTGGATGCAGTCTGCATGCCTTCTTACGGTGATTTTAAGGCAGTAGAGAGCAGAAGTTAGAAATCTGGTGCTTTCAAGGGGATGGGAGCACATCTGTGAATTAAATGTTATTTAGAAATAGAATCCAAGAAAGCCCTATCTAAACTGTACCTGGAGCTTTTTTTTGGCTTCACA